CTTCTGACTCTCTTGCTAGTGTTCGTACCCAAGCCTGTCAGGTAATTTCCAGCACTCTTAAACAGGAACCTAAAATTACTAATTCTGAGTTATCCGAAAATAATCGTGGTTGAAAAGAACAAATTGCGGCGGCTGATAGCGAAAATGATATCCTTAATATAAAAGACCGAGTAATGGCTGACCTTGAAGCCAAAAAAAAGGCTAAAAAAGAAGCAAAAAACCTTGCTAATAACTTAGAAACTAAAGGAAAAGATGCCAAACAATTAAAAAAACAATTGGAAGAAGTGGAAAAATCCAAAGGTCAACAAAGTTATGAGGATAACCAAGTTGGGGTGGATAATTTAAAAAATGAACTAGCCCAAAAGGTCAGTGAGGAAGAATACTGCCAAATCATCGTTGACACCATTGAAAAAAATATGGCTAAATACGATATCAAGGAGCAGGAATTGGAACCCGAAATAAAAGCAGACTTAGCAAAATTAAAAAGTAAAGAAATTAAGGATAATAACCAAATCAATGAAATAGAAAAAAAGGTAGCGAAAAATGTGGGACAAAAAGGCTCCGAAAAGAAATTAAACCATATTCTACAAGAGGCTCAGGAGGCTTTAAAATTAGGAAATAAAAGTAAAATTAAAGCAGTTAAAGGTAAATTATACAATTTTTTAGCCAGCACTGATATTTATGAAAAATCTCTGCTTTCCCAAAAAGGAGGTGAGGTCAAAAGGATGCTAAAAAATTTAGAAAATTATTCGGTTCAAAAACCAACTCTCTCTGACCCGTCTCCTTGAAAAGCAATGGTTCCAATTACTCTTATCTTATTAATATCAATTACACTGGGAATAATAATTTATCGGAAAAGAAAGCGAAGATTAAAGGCATAACGCTGAGGTTCCAGTGAATATAACAATATAACAACACTAGATTAATACTAATTAAAATTTAAAATGTTTAGATAGAATATGAAAAACGGAGAATTAGAAGGAAAAGACATAGAGAAAATTTATCAGTTAACCACTGAAAATTATAAGTGAAACAGTGGAGAAATTTTGCTTTATGAAAATACTTTCCTTTTGGGAAATTTAATGATGAGGTTAAATAATGGAACTCCAATTGGTAGGTCGGCAAATGGATTAATTAAGAAAACGAAAGCAAATAATTTTATTTTTGTTCCTGCTTGTAAAGAAGATATTCATTGAACTTTATTCGTTTACGATAGAGAAAATAAAACTCTCCATTGTTATAATTCTCTAAATGGAGTTAATAATTTACAATATTTTCGCCCTTTACTGAAAAATATTTTTGAAGGCAAAATTGTCGAACACCGAACCCCCCAGCAAGATAACGGTATCGACTGTGGATTATATGTAATTGCTATTACGGAATTTCTGATAAGAAGATACCAAAATAATTCCTCAGTAATGAATTGAGAGATAAATGATAAAGAAGCTCAAGAAATAAAAAAGAATGTTCCTTTATTTCGGAAAATGTTGGAAGAGGGTAAGGATTATTTTGCCGATTTATCTACAGAAACTACTTCGAAAAGGGCTGCTGACTTTGACTAACTTTCTCTAACTGAACCAACAGATTTTGAGCTTCTTTTTTATATTCTTGTTCGTATTTATTAGAACTGTGAATAAACTTTAACAATTTCTCTTTTAATCGTTGGACTTTTTCTTTGCTAAATTTTGCTACTTTACTTACTTTCTCTTTAAACTTTTTAATTCTTTTTTTAACTCCCGTTTTGCCAATATTTTCGATAATCTTGTCGACATCATCATCCTCTTTCTCTTTAATATTTTGATAGTCTTCTTGGATTTCACTATCCAACTCCTCGATAGTTAGTTTGTTCTTTTTCAAGTTTTCTTCAATTTTAGCCAAGTAATAATTAAA